TTAGGTGCCATTAAAATGAATGCAATCTGAAATTTACATTCTGCAATTTTAGCAGAGTGTTTTGAAATAGTGGGCAAAATCGCTACAATTCTGCTCGCAATTTCAAAACACTCTGCTAAAATCAATTCAAAATGGCCATATGTGAACGGAGCCCTAAAGTGGAACTTCACTCTCTTAATCAACATTGACTATTTTGAATCCTTATGCTGCTCACATTAGCTAATAGATGGGAAAGTATATATTTACTTGTTTTAAACGATTATTTACATTGCTTTAATCACTTCCTAGTTTCTCTAAGCAAATGATGTTATACATACCAGGAGTCTTCAAGAGGGTTTTTCTCAGCTAAGCACACCCTCCTGCCTATATGCCTGAAGTAAGGACAAATGGATTCCAGAAAGTAATTGCTACATGAATCATCTACCCTTACTCAAGATGGACACAGCCAGAAATTCTAGGGGTGTTTTTCTAAGTGATTTCTCAGCAAAATAACGCATGGAGACATGGATGGATGAATTAAACAGCAATTTTGGTTTGTGGTGTTCAGAAACAGTGTAGTTCTGCTTTAATTAATACAGAGCCTTATTAACGTGTGTCCTTTATATCTGCCAGGAGTTTAGCTTCAAGCAAGAGTTAACTGCTTGCCTTCTCGAAAAAACGATGCTTTGTCATCTCACCGCCTTCAAAGGTGCCACCAAAGACAAACTTCTGTAACTAGCCTGGGGTAGACCAGTGAAAAATGACAGCTGAATGGTTACTGCACCTTATGCATTACTTTACTAAGCCAACTGGATATCATAATGCCAAAAGTAAATGTGTACACAGTAGGTATGAGAAGACATTTTTTAAAAGATAGTAAACAGCCAGCTGGCACAGGCTATGTCTATACCTGGGCTCTCTGCCAGCATTGTTCTAGGTTACTATAGAGTGATTATTGTCTTTTATTAACACAGTCACCCTAAAGTAAGTATGAACTCCTGGAAAATATTATTGCTTTATCAAATAAATAATTGTAATCTCTAACAAGCAAGGCCCCCTCATCCCTCTTGTTAAAATAATTGTATTTAGTACCTTAGTATGATGGGCAGTACACATATACTGTAGACCAGTGGTCTCCAAACTGTGGCCCTTTAGCTGTATTTATCCAGCCCTTAGAGCACTATTTCATCCACTGACACCAACAATGGGGAATAGTTCCTCCCAATGACACCAACAGTGGGGCACAATTTCTCCCAATTACATCAATATGGGGCACAATTCTCCCCAATTACACCAACAATGGGGTACAATTCCTCCCACTGACATCAACAATGGGGCATAATTCCATCCAATGACATCAAAGATTCGGCACAATTCCTCTCAATTACATCAACAATGGAGCACTATTCCTCTCAATTACACCAATGATGGGGCACTATTCATACCACTGACACCAATAATGGGGCACTAATTATCCCACTAAAATCAATGACAGGGCACTATTCCTCCCCAATTACGCCAATGATAGGGCACTATTCCTCCTACTGACACCAACAATGGGGCATAATTCCTTCCACATACACCACCGATGGGGCAGTATTCCTCCCTCTAACACCAAATGATGGGGGTACTATTCCTTCCACTGACATCAAGACATTTTTTACTTCCATTGGTCTTAGTCTGGCCCCCGCAAAATCTGAGGGACAGTAAACTTTCCCTTTGTTTACAAAGTTTGGAGACCCCTGCTGTAGACAATGACAAAAGGTTAGAAAAGAATAAGGACGTTTTTACTGTCATTCTAAAGACATGCTATACATAAATGGAAATAAGGTACTCAGGTTCTGGTGCGCAATAATGAAATCAAGAAAGACAAATGAATAAATTAAGTAAAAAAAGTAAACAGTTAAACACAAGTATACAGCTAAAAGCGGGAAGATAAATACAAATAGTATAAGTAATACCAATTTGTTCAACAACTGCACATAAAAAATAGCAAGATATTTAATAAGATTGCAATAACAACTACCATAAGGTACAGTATTATCAATCTCAAATTGCATCGGTACCCAGAAAAGTAATAATACTAATAATAACAGCAGTAATTCAGGTTGAAGCAGAATTGGCCAATCCTACATCAGCGAAAAGGCTGTTCCTCAGTTTGTTGGTTCTAGTCCTAATGCTGAAGGGCGGGGGAACAGACAGTTCATAGACAGGAAGAGTACCTTTTTCCAACCCTTTAAAATAATGCACAATTTTTAGGCACCCCTAATAGTTTTACATATTGCAGCGGCATCCACACACATAGGACACCCAACATTAGAGATGATTTATTCTTGCAAAGCAAATACACTTTTGTACATTGGTACTGACCAGGGGCGGACTGACATCTCATGGGGCCCCCGGGCAATAGGGGATCATGGGGCCCCTGTGTCCTTGCTCAAACTCAAAAAAGCCTATGAAAAAGGTACCAGGGGCATCTCATGGGGCCCTCTACTGACCCCGGGCCCTTGGGCAGTGCCCGAGTTTCCAAATGGTCAGTCCGCCCCTGGTACTGACTATATTCCAGTATTTGTGCTCACTCCTTTTCTCTCCACCATGATGCTAACATGACCCCAGTGCTGACAGAGAGGTGTGAGGGGTCAAACATGGATGCTGTGCAGGTGACAGACATCCTTCTTATCAACTGATGGTGTCAGCAGTTGTTAGAGTGCTGGCAGCTGGCCCACACCCAGGTTGTAATGTTGCACAATGAAAACCTATAGCTATGGGTATATATGGTTATACATTTTGTCAAGGCACCCCTGAAGAACCCAGAAGGCACCCTGGGTGAAAAAGGCTGCCTTATAATATTGAGGGACATCTTCTTACACTTGCTATTGTAAATATGATGGTGGACAGATTGCTGCTGATAATTCTCTGAGCAGTCTTTATCATCCGCTACAGTGCCTGTTTATCGGCAGCAGAGCAATCGCTGTACCAAATGGTAATACAAAAAGCGAGGATGATTACTACCACATACCTATAAAAGAAGATGAGGACTAAAGAACCAAAATCAGCACACTTCCATCTTCTCAGAAAGTAAAGTAATTGGTAGGCCTTCTTTACTATGCTGGCTGTATTGACACTCCAGGTGAGGTTTTTAGAGATGTGCACCCCCAAATATTTAAAGCAAGGGATCATCTGAACAGCTGTACCCCCAACATAGAGAGGAAGGGGAATAATACTGGTCTTCCAAAAATCCACAATTGAAAGACATGCATACAAGCAAAGCAATTTTTAACTTCTAAAATGAAGGGCTAAAAATCCATCCACCTCATTTATGTGCATGGAGGAATGTGTTAAGATTTCTTTTCATTCAGCTCATTAGCTGAATTAAAAAAAATTAACAGTACCTATTAGCCATCATAACAGATTAGTTATCTGGTGATTGCAACATTGGCATCAAGCAACAGCCTGATCCCACTAACGAAGGAAACTTTCTGAGTGATAGCAAGGGCTCTGTTCAGAGTATGCTTCCCACACAGCTAGGAATGTCATAGTTTATATAACTTCTTAGTAAGGTAGGCTGTCTCCCCTGAAAGTAATACGACTTATAATGTGGCCAAGGTCCTAATATAATACTACTTTCTCTCAATTAATAACTACTAAAAAGGACCAGCTGGACATTGTAGGAATCCTTTTAATTTTTGTCAGATTTCATTCTAAAACATAAGGTATCTACATGTCTTATTTCCATCATAAATCCTTAAAATATGGGTCCGTTCATTCCATTGCGCTGCGGTAATGCAAGTGTACCCACAACATGCAGAAATGCACTTTACATATGTAGATATGCTGTGGGACCATTTAATTTCACACAGTATTCATACAATGATAGTTATTCCTTTATGTACCTGGGCCAAACTACATATCCAGAACAGTTGATTGTATCAGAGATAGTCTGATACTGTAGAATCACTATTCCAAACTGCATTCAGCTGTTTCAGGCTTATTGGCTTGGGGAACTTGGTTAGCAATGTGAAAGCATAACCAGAGAAGTTATGGTGGTGGGACAAAAATAAACCCAAATCCCTCCAATGGATCTGTGCAAAACATCTGTTTGGCCTTCTTAATATAGAAGCCATGTACAAGTCTCCATTTCAGCAGTGGAGGATGTTCTCATTCCTTTTGGCCCACCGAATCATAAAATATCTGATTATTCTTTCTTGTTGTTTCTTGTCAAGTTTAAAAAATTCCTAAATAGAAACCATTACAGCCAGTTTTGATCTCTCTTACTTTTCTCTGTGCTACAAAGGAAAACACAATCATTCCATAGATTTGAATTGGCAGAAGCAATTTCCCATCCAATTCTTTGGGATGGCAATACTCAGGTGTGGGCAGTTTGGCACTAGATTTTTACTGGCTGAGCTGCAGACAGCGTAGAAAGCTACATCCATTAGAGGAGGAGTATGGACATACAGTAGCAAGGGGGGAGGAAGTGTACTTTAAGCCTGGATACACAAGGGAAAGTTTTTTTTTTACAAATCACCAAGAAGGTAACACAACTGCCATGTTTGTTTGGAACTCCTGGACTCAGTACCTTTATCCTTGACACCATCAATGTTATACTGTGGTAAACAACATACATGATGAAGAGAGCAAGAGAATGGCTGCCATAAAGACAAAAGGTTCTCTTTCTCACCATAGCTCCTCCAACCACTTTTCTAAAGTAGAGGTAGGAGAAACTGGCTGATCACTGAAATATGAAGGTGTTTTTATTAAGTCAAGCAATATGGAACATTGTGAAACTTACTGTCAAATAATTGACATTCAGTATTTTAATGATGAAAACATCAGCCTTGAACCTTCACCTTCTGCTGGTTGTTATTCAGCACTGCAGTTCTAGTATCACTTTAAAAACAATTAATGAGCTCAGGCAAGCACAACAGAGAACTGAGCTGCAGCCTAACAACCAACTGATGGCTGAAATTTACAGGTGAATTTTGACAGTTAATAAACCAAGTGTGTACTATAGAAGTTACCTGTTTGTTTGCCTTTAACACAGCTCTAAGAGTTGCTATTTGTTCCCGTTTGGTGCTAAGCAAAGACTTTAGTTTGAGGATCTCCTCCATTAAGGCTTCCTTGTCTTTATCAATCATTGGCGCCAATTCCCTAGCTGCAGCCCGCTGGCGTGACAACTGTAAGGACTTGTCCACGGCCTTTTGCAAATGTTTAATTTGATCCCTGATTATGGCATTGAGGTTGTAGATGTTCATTGGCTCCTTACGAATATCACTAGATTCAGATACAGGGGAGGATGGGGGGGCAGTGATGACAGGGGAAACAGTAGCAGACTTTTGAGGAGTGGGCTCCCTACTGGAATCTATACTATCTTTTGGGACTGATTCACAAGGGCTTCTTGCCTCCACTGGAGAAGCCATACCCCGCCTGGCCAGCCTTGGGGATAGAAGTCCTCTGGGGTCATCTGGACCCTTCAAGCTTCCACTACGGGTACCCTTACTTTGCCTGTAGTAGTCCAACATAACTCTGTTTGGTGTTTCATTGTTACATAGACATACATGATGGTAGAGTTGGGCTAATTCTTCACTAAAAGTCACTAACTCATCCTGAGCTGTATTAAGGGTGTTATGGGTTTCATTTGCTATAGCAGTCATTATCTGTAGCTCCCTCTCCAACAGAATCAGTTTGTCACTACTCTCCCTACGGGCCTTCTCCAGACCCATAACCCGTTCGTCGTAGATCTGGATCCTCAAATCCAGCTTTGTCTTCTCTTCTGTGTAGCTCTCTGCATGCTTATTGTATTTTTCCTTTAAGGCTTTAAGTTCTGCTTTGAGGTCTATCACCTCTGTAACGGCAACTTTATATTTGCATTCCAGGATCTCCAGGCCATTAATGTCAACCTCATAGTCATGAGTCTCCTCTCCAGACACTTTAGCTTTATCAGAGTCCAGCTCTTTGGCGCTGTGGAGCCTCCTCATGGAATTCATGTTTTCTGTAAGTCTATGGACCCGTTCGTGCTGCTCTGTTAAGGGCTCCTTTTGTATGTTCCAGCTGAGTCTGAGACTCTTGTAGGTTGGTTAACAGAATTGCTTTTTCCCTTTCAACCTGTAGAGGAACATAACATTAGTTAGATTAGGAAACACACAAATACCATGCAAGATATTTCTATAAATCTTTCAAGGATCTCTGTATATGAGAAAACAGCATAAAAAAGGAGCAGTTCAGTCAACTGTCCACCCTTACCTAAGAAACTAAAATTCAGTGTTATAGCTACTGTATTTGTTCAATGGAACTCATCAACAGAGATATCTGGAGGTCACCACCCAGCCTAACTTTTGAAAACTGCTCCATGATGCTACTGACAAACCTCAGTTCTTTCTTCATGCTTTGATTGTTTTTCTGCCTTCTGGCTAACTTAGTGGACAGTCACGTGAAAAGGAAAGTCAGGAAACAGGTTTTGGGTTTTTGTCAAGTGCGTGATGGAGAAGGTTGCAAAGCCAAGATCTGCATTAGTTTCAAGAAAAAAATGTTTACAGACTAATGAAAATGGAGGATTTAAAGACAATGCAGGACAGGTCCCAAGAACCACTAAAATTACAGCTGTCGCTACCTTTTTAACAAATGTTATCTGTTATTGTGGGTGTATGCACCTTGGCAACCAAAAATGTTTTCCTAATCTGATCTAAATTGCTTTTAACTGCATTAATTGGTACACCCTGGTATACAGAACTCCTTTAAAGCCCAACTATAGTAATCCAAGAAAAATAAACAATTTTAGCTTTAAAAATGAAAGCAATCACTCGTAGACTCCCATTCTAGATATTTAACTGCTGTCCTCTTCAAACATGCCCAACTATAGTATCCAAGAAAAATAAAATAAATCCACTTGACTTTTAAAAATAAAAAAGCAACTCCACGTAGACTCCCAATGATCTAATGCTGGTCCTCTTCAGATTTGAATGGCTGGTATCAAACATCATTCAACTCACTTCCTGAGAGCCCAGGGCATAAAGGATCTGTTTGTTATCAAGCTGTCTGGGCTCACAGGAGAATGCTGCATAGAAAGGCACTATACTGTGTGCAGCATTCAGGAACTGTTCACTGCTAAAGGGAGGAAGACATCACGTGACTGGACCTAAGCCAAACTGAGCTTTAACATACAGCATTCTATATATTTAACTGTTGTTTTTAACAAGATATCCAGTTGCAGATGTTTTGTTTACAATCAGGCTCTTATAAAGCCTAACTTGCTAGATTCAAACGCCCTGTCCATCAACATCAATTTAAAGCAAACCTGTACAATGCACAGCGATACAACAAGTTGGCTGGTACATAAGGTCATACATAAGGTCATAAATGCAATACCTGTGTCAATGATACCTCTCTGGTCAATCCATACTCTGCTAGGCATAGTGCCACATACCTGCTTTTAGCATACTTTAAAATACATAGAGTGTCAATATGGGGTGCAATGACATAGGTGGAGTAAGCAACAGACCCGGGTTACTTACATGTAATATGCAAATGATGGATACAACATCTTTGTTCAGCAAACATATATACTGTATGTGCACACCTAACGCAACATGATGTAGACACCTCAAATGGAAATGCATTTTGAAAGATTCAGCACGGCGTTGCCAGCTCTGAGTTCCCTGTGATGTGGGTGGTAATGTCAATAGCTATTAGATTGGTGACAACCAATTGAACAATGCGTTCACTGCTCCATATTGCCTTAGTAGGAATTAGGCAGCTGTGGAAATGTTAATTCTCCACTAAATCCTGGTCTTTAATTTGCTGAAATATCTGGTCTCTTAGGTGACAGCTGAACTGGGTTGTCAGTCAGCAGAAGTGTGGTTAGCCTCACCCAAGACTACTATTTGCTAAGCCCACTGCTTACAAAACTGACACAAGGGTACACAAGGTCGCCCTGTATGAACATACAGGGCGAAATCCTCCAATTGCTCTGTCAATAAGAAAAACAACTAGCTGTTTTTTGAGACAAAGACAGGTAATTCAAACTATGCTGGCAATTGAGCTTCACAACAATGTAGTTACTCATGTCTGGTTCCCTTTAAAGCTAACTATAGCCATGAGATGACAGTTACCTGATTTGGCTAGACTTGACAATGATCTCATCAGCTATGGGGGTATGGCCTTAGCCAAATAACCTGAAGAGGAAGAACTGATCAGAGAATGGGAAAACCCATCCTATTCACTAATACTGTCAGAGGTAATCTTTTTCTCTTTCTTCTCCCTCTTTCTTTAGCAAATGTTAGGCCAAATGTTTGTGTCTGTGACATCTCCGCATGATGGGAAAGCATGAGACTGATTAGGTATTGCATGCAAGTCTGCACTTACAATATTTAGTAACAGAGTCCCAAAATAAGTTTTTCAGTGGACTCCAGGGTAACCAATTACAAATCAGCTTTCACCAACCAAACCACACTAAGAATCTAAGTACACAACTTTACAGTATTTTAGTGAAGTGGTTTTTGGATCTTTCTACATTTTTCACAATAACCTAACTAGTTATCCTTATGAAACTACTGATTGCAGTTCTTAAGGATCTATGTACACTGGGCATACAAAAATGCTGCTCATACAGGCATTTTGCATTTTTTTTCTTCAGTCTTTAGAAGCAGCTGTGTGTGTGTAATGCATCTACATTAGGGAGTTTACAGGTGTATTTTCAGAGGAAAAAAAACCTTAAGAATTACGTTTTTAGAGGATCTTTCCGGCAGAAAAAAAACGCTTAACACCCAAAAATGTGGCATTTAGGAACCTTTGTCATTTTCAAGTGTACACTGAAAAATGAGCAGAGGGGAATGTTTTGGAAAGAAAATGCCTTTAAAAGCAAATGCCCATAAACTCTCATTAACTCTTGTATACAATACGAACCACTATGAGCATTTTTTTAGGTTCCTTTTTTCTGCCAGAGATTCTGCCCCTAGTGTGCATGAACCCCAAATAAACTTCATTAGGGAGGATATAGTGGCTAAGTGCACCAGACAATCTGAGAAATTATCCATGGTGCACAGCACACTGATAAAATATTAATATGAAAATAATGTATAATGCAACATAATAATACACACACGCAGACTGCAGTGGAATTAAAATATTAATTGGAGTAAACGTCAAGACTACTGCAACTCAGTCACCTTCAATAATTTGTGTTTAAGAAGACAAATGTCAAAATTAGATATATATTAAGACAACTTGAATAATAAACATTTTTAGGCTTTCTTGGGATGCCTGCTATGTTCCTGCCCTTTAACATGAATGCTGACATTTCTTTATGAAATGAAGAGACAAAAAAGCCAGCATCACTTGCTATAAAACCCCACCCATGAATATGAAATCCCTCCCAGAAATAACACCCCCTAACAGCCAGACAAAAGACAACCCTCAGAAATTTGAACAACTATAAACAGGAATTGTAACTGTTTGCTTTTCTAAACATTTAGAAATAGTGCTAGCAATCATACCCAATATAATATTTAATTTCTTACAAACAGATAGTGGGAAGGGTGCCATAACTTACCCAATCATAGGTTTGTTTGTTTTTTTAAGTAGAAACCCCTATAAAGGGTGGCACCACCTCTAAAATCTAGTCATAGATTAATGCACTCCTGATCTTCAAAATACAGCCCTGCCCAAGAGCAAAGCTAGGTACAAGAATAGTTGAATAGTTTTTGTGCTTGTTTGTACTCAATGTCAGCCCTGTGGAGCTTATTGTTAATGTTATTGACATAAAAGCAGTACAGTGACATATGATAGCCTCTTTCCCGGAAGATGTGAAGATACTACAATAATAATGATCTCAGGTTCTGCCACTGCAGGAATATCATAAATAACCGTAACCACTATTATGCTGAGTTATAATGTTTTATGGCCACTGTAAGAAGAATGGTGCTGAGGTTACATTTAGGCATCTATTACTATACTATAATTTAAACTTAATGCATTCATTTATGTACATTCACACATAAAAATATGAAAGTTTAATCTGCTCAAAAACACTAACATACACTAGTGGTCACATGAGAAGGTAATCATAGCAGTCCTTATTATGACTGTCATGCACAGTGTTCGCCCTCCATTTTACCCAACGTGGGCAACCTTTGCTACAGAAAAGGGCTCATTTTTTATATGAAGATTGCTTTTGATATTCCTGGACTAAAGGTTGGTTCTTCAACTGTCCCTGCGTGCCACCTAGGCATAGGCTGGAAATAGTGCACAGTGGCCCTTCAAATGCAGCATGGTCTGCAGTGTTTATGCTGCGTCACATGCTGTAGGCCCTTTGGTTTACATTCTCTTCCTCTCCAGTCTCTGTATGAAGTTCCTAAAGAGTAAGACACACTTACACACAACTGAACACACTTACAAAAAACATTCTGCTCCCTGAGGACGTCGAATGACGAAACGCGTAGGGTGGGGCTTGAGTGGTGTGATGTCAGCATGTTCTCAGTGATCGTTACAGCACACGTGCAATGTGGCTGGGTCTGTCTATTGGCATCTGATTATGCTGGCTGCGCTGGTGTCGGCTGGACACCGTTTTTTGTAAGTATGTTCAGTTTTAATAAAGCAACGATTTTAAGAGGTACTGCACCATGAGCTTCTGTTTTTTGTATATTCCGAGTGGCCATTCCAACACCCTCTGAATAGGATGGGATATGAATGAAGTGGATCTACAGAGTCACAGAGTCTCTTGCAGAGTATTGCTCCAGGATTAGAGAAGATCGTTTTTTCCAAGCCAAAGCTTTGTTTCAACTGTCTACAGATCATTGCTCCCAGAGCAGAAAAGCGCTTATGCTGTTTTATAACATAATCAGCATATTGCTCTGGTGAGTTTATTCAGTTTATTTGGTGGTGGATACACTTGATGGATTTCGTTGAATTTTCTTCATCTTCACTACTAAATTATTCTTTTGGGACTTTTAATGATTGATTTAATTTTGGTATGATATGTTTTGGGATCAATATGATTTAGATATATTTTTGTTATGGACACCTTTATTTCTTTAATTTTGTATCTTTTGACTGGTGCAGTCTGTGTATTTTTGTATCTGTATGCACCTTTATATAGGGCAGATTTTGTA